TGACTGCTGTTGGCATGTTCATGATGAAAAACGACGGCAGAGTCAGGACCGACACCCCCTTTTTCCCACTGTACGCACCAGTACGCTCATTCCACCGGTCTTGCTAGTTCTGCTTGTTCAACTGCCTGGCTTCCCCCGTCCCTCTTCACCAAGTCCCCGGGCCCCGGTTGGTCCGACCTCTGTGAGCGCCGGCCCTCGCGGCTGTTGCGCCCGGACCTGAGAGCGAAGCGGCGAGAGGTGGGGAAGGCGAGCGAGCGGCAGCGGGGCGACGGGGCGAAGCGGCGACACCACTGAGGGGCGGAGAGGTGCAATAAAAGACTTGCAAGATAAATGATACATGTAAATGACATGATAAATACTGTCTACTTAGGCTAAATCCATCAAGTACAACAAAGAAAGACTGGAAATACTTCGGATCGGCGGCTTCATCAAGTCACAAGCCAACGGTGCCGTTCCCTACAGTTCCAGCCCTGTCGGGCCGATTCCTGGCCCAGCCACTCCGCCCCACTCCGCCCGGCTTCCCGGCGGAACCGTCGGCTCCACATGGAGCTCCGAGAGCTTCGTGGAGCCCTGCGGAGCTCGTGGACTGCACCGGTCGCGGGAACCGGAGAAGCGAAGAAAGACGTCCTCCAGTCCAGTCTGTGCTGCGAAGACAAGAAGAGACCAAGGCGAGTGACGAAGGTGACAACGAGAGAACACAATAGAGAAGGGTGGATGGAACAGGTTTCCGTGCGGGACGTTACAGTGTCAGCTCTTGGATCGGTATGTTCTTTTGAATCGAATATATATATTATTTCTTGGGAATGGTGGAGAGCTGGAACCACCGGAGGTTCACACTCTGAAAGCCAAGGGACGAAAACAGAGTTCAACACGGGCATCTCCTAGAAATTGTTGACCCAAACATATAAGTCCTGATCTGCAAAATGTCTTGAAGCGTTTAGAGGCCAATGCGGGGGTCCTGTAGATGTCCTTGTGAAAGACCCAGGCTTGTCAGCACGTTCCAGGCTTGTGTCTTTGGGCACTCACTTGCTCTTTAAGTCCCTTGACTCAGATGACCCAGTCACCTAAACACCCAAGCAGATTTCCCAAACCGCCCCTCCCCCAATGTCTCCCGGCCAAAACGCCGCGACGTCGGACCGTCACCGTCGACCCCCGTGGGCCCGAGGCCAAAGGGCGCCTTCTCTTGCTTCCGGGCCAGCGCCGGGCGCCGGCACATCGGGCACTTCGTCGCCTCGCGACCGACCGGCGACGACCGCGCGGGAGACGGTGCGGAGCTTGCTTGGCGTGCTGGGTTTCCAAGCAAGACCACGGAGATTTGGAGGAAATACTTCTGCAAAGCGCTGCCCCGCAGCACTGTGCTCTCCTGCTCACGTCGCACGCACTTGTCAATATTCTGCATTGACGGTGATCCTTCAATGCATAGGCCAAGTGCACAGTTCACCCCAGGTGGTAAGAGGACCAGCTGCCCACTGGAGGAGGCATTGTCTCTCTTTGCCACTCTGGCAAAGTCAGCACATGAGTGTGGAGGTTCAAGTCCTCCCTGGTACGCTTTGCGCTTTTCGCATTATCTCTTCCAGACCATTGCATCGACGACGGTGGGTGAATCTGGTCACCTGTGAGCACTTGAAGATGACAGTTGAAAAAGAGAAACAAAGAGATAGAGAGAGAGAGGGGAAGAGGGGAGAATCGGCGCTGGGGTTTGGGGGTTCTATGTCGACCTCGAAACACAAACAATAGCAAAAAATATGGAATGGAGGGATCATGATGGCTACTCTGAAACGCAGGAGATGTTGATGGACACAGGCATGATATTTGGTGTACGTAGCTCCCATGCCAACCTCAAAGGGCACTTTAGGTCGACGCCCTTTTTGTTGTAGGAACGTTTTGTATATAGGATTTGACATTGTCACTCGAGCGACAGGGGTTCACCAACAGGACTTGGTGTAGGCTCTCTTGGCACTTCCGTTGAACCGCCTTTGGAACAACGAAAAAACCCCGCTTGGACTCGTCCGACTCGTCGACGAGTCCAAAGCCGGTCCGTCCAGACTTCGGCGCCTCCCGGCTGTTGCCGGTCATGATCCACTGCTCCAGGCAGCTGGCATGAAAGACGTGTGCGCACTTGGGCAAAGGCCTCGGGGCTGACGGGCCGAGATTTCATCGGCGGGTTCATTCCGCGAGGATGGACTGCGCGGAAAGAGAAGGGAAAGAGAAGGGGAAGGTTTCAGGCTGCAACGCAGCAGAAAGGTCTCTTGGCCCCGAAAAAAATTTTGCATGCCCAATTCTTCGGGGGTTCTTCGGCGCTTCCTCTCACCGACCGCCTCGCCTCCGTCCCGCGACGTGGAAAACACACCGCGATGTATGGCGCGAGCGCCACCGCGCCTCACCCGGTCGCCGGGCTGGAATTCTTCCTGCAGAGATGGACGTCACCAGCTCTTGGTCATGCAAAGTGAGTGAACACACCTCTTGGTCAATTGGGCTCTGGAGGGAGTTCTCGAGACGGTGCTCTCAGATAGAAATCGTGAGGATGCTGCAGGCACCAGAGTCTCGCCCCCAAGTCTGTTGAGCCTTTTTCCGTGAACCAGCACCTAGAATACACTGCGGAAATGCAAGAATGCAGCACATGCCCAAGGGCAGCCCACAGCAGAAAGTATATCTGTTGATCTTCAAGGGCAGCATCCCCAGCTCTTCATGGCTACAAGCACCTGAACCCAGCGACACCACCCCATCCGCGCCATGCACACCACACACTTCTCGTGCTCTGACCTGGCTGTCGGTGAGATTGACCCAGCCACAAATCGTCCCAAAATCACACAAAACAAGGGACAACATGCTCCTAATGTAGACTCTTGATCAATAAAAGAAAACGTATGAAGAGGTTTTGCGTCCAAATGGAGGGTTTGTTTTATTAATCGAGAGTCTACATAGCACAAGGTGCTGAACTGCCACAAACTTCTCACCTTCACAATCCAACGACATGTTTCAGGCTTTCTGGTACATTGGTTTCCACTCGCGTTGGACCGCACCAAGCTCCTTCAACTTCCTTCCCGGTCGGGGTTCAGGAACCTTGTCGGGGATTCGGGCAAGAATGAGCCCTAGAGCCCCAGGTGACCTTTCGGGAATGTTGGGAAAGCTCCCCCTCCTTCATGGGAATTCCTTAAATGTTGGAATCTTGAGGAAATCTCTTGCTGTCATCCACCTCATCTATCTTTATCTATCTTCTCTCTTCTATGCCTTACTTGTCTTTTTTCTACACCTCCTCAGCCTAACACAAGATCGTATCCCGTATCCCTCACAAAGATTCGCACCCGATGGCCCCAGATTGTGGAAACTCTCCGAGCTTGGCATGGAAATTCAAGGTGCTCACATTTGAAGAAACCAAGTGATTTGCAGTTGGGGCTGGCAGCGTCCCAACTGGCAAGCATTGGCAAGCATCCAACATCGTCAACATGGAACACCCGCTTGGGATATATCAAGTCTCTAAATGATGCTGATTGCCATCATGTTCAGAATGTTAGATGAAACCGGGGTCCCGTACCGTTTACACCGGAGGCCTTCCTTCGGTGAGGAAGGCACCCGGCTCGGGCTCCCCGCGAGATCTCCAGGGGCAGCAAAACCGGCGGAGGCGGCTCCGTGCCTTCAGCGTTCGGTGTTCCGCGTAAGACTGGTTTCAACAAATGTCCTTGTCGTGATGTCCGTGTCCAGGTATGGATAGGGCTTTAGGGAAGGAAAGGAAGGAAAAGAAAAGAAATCGAATTGCACAGTCTTAGTGCCCAAACCAAGGGGGCATTCTACCCTCTTAGCAACACTTTCTGGCAGCCACCCTGCTGGCACCAGGATGGCTTCGAGGGGAGCCCTTGAAGGGATTCAGGCCATTCATGCAATTCAACAGCTGCTGTGTTTTTGCTGGGTCTCCCCTCCTTTTGATGCAGTCACATGATCAATCAAGTCAATGGCTCCGCCAGGCTTCTTGACACATCTTCTACACTCAATCACGACCAAAAGCAGAACAAAACACAACAAAACCCCCCGGCCACTCGATGCAAGACCCCCCGACGCCAAGAGACTACTCTTGCCCTCTGTGCTCTAAGTACAGATCTATTTCTTTCAGTGCAAATAATAGCTAAAATAGGGATGCCACCACTCGTCCCTCCGTCCCTTGCGCCTGTGCTTTGCGGACTGGCCGCCGGCGGATTTCCCGTCGGACCGCTCGCGGGGGTGCCACCGGGGGGCGCAGCAGGCGCCGGTGCCACCTGCGGCGTGGATCGGTCAAGGCCGTGCTGAAGGAAAGACCTGTCTGTGCTGCAAAGGAGCTCCAAGTGGCTAGGGTCCCACTTGCGCACGGGGTCGACAGACGAACACCGAACTCCGCTAAGCTTCCCTTAACTTTACCTTGGGTGGCTCACCAAAGGCATGCACCGTTGGAATGGCACCTTCTTCCTCTAAATCTTACCCTCGGGTTTAAGCTTTTATTTGAAGAGCGTCTTCCTACATGCATGTGAAGCAGAAGCAAGAAGTTCTGGGGCAACTGCGAGGAAGCTTGTCAGGCTGCTTTTGCTGTATATTGTCATGCTGCAGACACACACTCCTCAAGAGGCTTCTCATCCTTCCAACTTGCGCGTGTATACGTAAGCCAGGCGTTTTCCGCACAAGTGAGTGCCATGCCCCGGTTCCAACTCCTATCTATCAGGGTCGCGAGTTTTAGCAGCCCCCCAGGCTGTAGAAAGAGGAGGGCTGGGGAACAGTTTCAACAGGCTTTTGGGTCCCGGTCCGGAGCCGTTCAGGTTTGCACCGGGAGGCTTTGAAAATGTTTGAAGTCTCCTCCCCTTGGTGCAGAATCCACCGGGAGCCATCGGGGCTTTCGGAGCTCCCCGTGCCCCCACCTGCCTGCGGCGCCGGGGTTGGTGCAGGGATGTCTGGCGGCTGATTTTGAGGCACTGCCTCAGCCGGGCCACTTGAGGAGGAGGAGGAGGAGGAATAGGACAAAGGATGAAACAGAACGATCACTCCAAATACCTCATGGTGGACCTGTGTTTTTTGGGTCTCCGGACCAGGCGCACGCCGCAGAGGAACTGCCGACTGGAGGGCTCTTGCCTCACGTTGAAGCCCAGCAAGGCGACCAATGCCTGCTTCGACTCGTCGTACGGTCTTGGGGGGGCCTCAGGTGCGGGATCACCCGTAGAGGTCTCAAGGACCCAACCTTCGGGGTGTAGGGAAGATCCCGGTTTGGAAGGATAGTGAAGCGTCCAAAACGGCTAAAGCCCTTGGAAGGTGCTGGGGGCTGGGAGTTTGTGTCTTTCATGTTCTTTCAGAGAAGAGTCCTGTGCACCAGGCATTTAAACATACTTACATGAATCCATGGGTGGGTGGTACAGCTGGATGACTGACCTATGCCTCTTCTTCTCTCCACTCCGTGTCCGAGAACTTCTTCTGTGGCCTTTTTGGCATGGAGTCCATCCCTCGTCCCAACGATAGAAACCACTTGGAGCGGTAAATCTGGCAGTCTGAAATCAAAAGCCTGCTCCGGCTGCCAGGTCCTTCCGCACGCTCCATCCATACGATGTGCTCCCTCTCATTTGGGTCGCTTTGCTTTCTGCTCGTCGAACACCGACCGAGCGACCCGAAGAAGGAGCTCCAGTCCAGACCCACCAAGCATGGAGACGCATGGATGTCAGGCATCTAATCCCTTCCCTTCGAAGCGAGCCTCATGAAAGCTTTCAGGCAGACTGCTGTGCCTCAGGTGTTGACGTTCGGACACGAGCGCTCCACGTATCCGGCTCCCATCCATGGGACCGAACCCACTGCACCTGTCTGTGCCCCTACTGCAAAGGACTCCTCCACCCTCCAGCCACTTCACTCCAGTCTTCCGAAACAAAGCAGCTCCAACCCATGCTCCGCTCCGCAAAACCCACGAAAAAACACAGCAGCCGAGGGTGTCCCTGCCCGCCCCATGGCTCTTCCCGCTCCCACCGCGCGGGTTTTCACTGGTTTCGCCCGCGGACCGCGCGCCCGACTCGGTCCCGTGTCGCCGCGCCCCTGCTCGTTGTCGCTGTCGGAGGACTCCCTCGGAGGGGGGCGGTCGGAGGTGGCGGGCGGACCGTGCCGACGAAGAAGCGAGGCTCAAAACACAAGAGAAGGGATGGAAAGAAGGATCGATTCGATCGATATTGACATTGCTTTGAATTATGCTTGAACCTATTGCGACTGTTGTGTTCTTTTTTGTCATCCCTTATGACAACCCCAAACGGAAGATTCAACGTGTCGAAGTCTGCCATAACTTCCCAAACCGATTCAACACGGGCGGAATCCACATCGTGTTGTCACTGACCATTGTTGTCATCGCCCCCATTGACCCGATTGGGCCGATTGGGGAAGTCTTACGATGCCACACCAACAAGAAAGCATGCCATGCTTGGAGTGCGTCGAAGCCTTCTCATCTCCCACCAAGAAAATCAAACAAACCAGGTGTTTGCTGGTTGGAAGCAGCCAGCATAGCAATATCAAGAATCCTTCTGAGCCTCCAACACAGTCATTGAGCTTGCCAGCTCGCTTCCCATCTGCCTAGAAACACCCCGGCTCGCGCAACCCCGTGCGTTCCGATCGACGCCATCGGTGCGATCGATTGGGCGCTCCGAATTGGCGGCTGTGGGGTTCCACAAACAATGGGGATGTGGGTGAACAGCGGAAGTTGCTGGGCCATGCTGCGACAGACAGACAGACAGACAGACAGACAGCCAGCCAGGCAGGCAGACAGGCAAGCAGGCAGACAGGCAGGCAGCCAGCCAGGCAGACAGACCGAGAGAGAAAGAGAGAGAGAGAGAGAGAGGCACTCCAGTTGCCTAGTCGGTATGGCGTCGATTCGCTCCGCTGACAGACTGGGACCCGGAAGGCTTTGAATCCCACAGAGGAGAATTCGATGCAAGGAGTACCGAGCCAAAAAAAAGAGAGAGAGAGAGAGAAAATCCAATCAGACGGAAAAGGGCCAAGCTGGTCTGTGATCATCTAGAGTCTAGAGTCCATCAATCTGTGCAGTGGCCAGTGGCTGCGGCGCCGTGTGATTCGTTTGATTTGCCTGTTGGATGTCTTGATCTGCGCCGTGCCCCCTTCCAGAACCATCGGCAAAAGAGCGCAGACCGGATTCAGGGAGACCAAAAAAACATCTATCGCAGTTTGTCGAAGCAACCTTTCCAATTTCATTGGAAGGCTCGCAAAATCGACCAGTCCGAGAAATCGATCAGTCTCCCTGTTGCAAAAAAAAACACGCCGACTCCGCAAGATCCCGGGCCGGGAAAAAAAACTTCAAACGGCCGATGATGAAGCTGCCGGCATCTAGACAGGTTTCTACTCTATGGAAGGTTTCCTCTGCTAAGAGGTGGTCAACTCCATGATCTTCCATGACGATTTCAGGGAGGGTATATACTAAGTCTGCTATCTATTTATCCATCTGTCCATTTAACACTTGGTCCAGCCAACTTCCCAACCGCCCAACCTTCCCATTTTCCCTCGCTCTTCTCGCCTCGCCCGCCGGGCTCGCCAGGCCCGTGCCCAGCGCGAGCGCAGGCTAAGCCTCGCCCGGTGGTGGCTGAGAGTCCGAGAGTCTGCGCCATTTGGGTTTTGGGTTCAGACTTGGGTCGTTTGAATGGGAATGTATTATGATTTCTTGGTTGATGCAGGCATCAGTGGGCGCTTTGTTGCATGGCCCCTGGATCAACCAAGGATGCGCCCCGCCCAACCTGCGCTTTTGTCGCTCCAAACATCATGGTTCCCTCACCACGGCAACACCAAAAACACGAGTGCAAGCCGGTGTAAAATGAGTCAAACCTGGACTTTCAAGGTGGTTCAAAAAGCATGCTGGCCACCAGTATCGCCAGGACCGCCGTGGCCTGCTGAGCGAACTCTTCAATTGCACAACGCCTGCACAACGGGGGACAGCACAAATGCGCAACCTCTGCAGGTGACTTGCAGCGGGGCCCAACAACAAACGGGCTGCCCCGGCTTCACGATCGCCGCCCCCGATGTTCCCCAAAAGAACCAGCGGTGCTCATGTGGGTCCTTGCATTGCTTCCAGCATCCACGCCACCTCACCCACCATGCCTGCAGCGAGCAGGAGGTAAAGAAGCATGGAGTCCTGCGGGCATCGTTGACTCAAGACGCTTGAACCGAGGCTTCAAACCCGGGGCGCCCAAAACACAGCGTGGCTTTGCCCGGGGCATCCGCGCGCTCACATCCGCCCTCGCCTTGGCATCGTCGGTGACCAAGTCCATCAGGTGCAGTGAGCTAATCCAATCAGAGGCCAGCAGGAGCACCAGCACCAAGGCCTGCAGATCGAAACACCCACCCTCCGAGCCCGCACTTGAGAAGCCGAACCGGAAGCACTTGAAGCCTGTCGCGACTATTGGATACATGAACTCAGCTGACGGTGGGCCTTGATTGGAGCAGCACTTTCGGAAGTCAGGGACTCTGCTTGCCCTCAAAAAGCAATCTGGGCGGCTTCTTGTCGCAGGGAGGGAACTGTGGAGCAGCTTAATGCGCCATGTTCAAGCGTACCTACGCTTTGTCCACGCACATTGAAAATCAGTTTTCAGCTTGCAACACTATGACAATTCTCACATTGCCGCAGTGGTGGTGTGACGAGTTCTTGGCCCTGGATTGAGGCAACCAGAATACCTGGTCACTGTCTAGCTCTGTGATCGTCTTAACGCTTTGCTTCTTGAGAGCAAATCAAGGTGTCTAACCATGGGTCTTTCATCACCAACTCCATTCTCCGGCGAGCCTGCTCGTTCTCAAAACCCCAAGGGAGGAGAAGTGGCACCCAGTGGACCATTGCAAAGCAACGGCAATTTTGATCAACTTTGTGGTCTCAACGTCAACTGTTGATCCCGCCCATCGACCTCGAAACCTACAGTCAGTTGTTCTTCAGCTACATCTGCACTTGGCCGGTCGCCCTGGCTGGGTCGGTCACTTCCCTGGCTTGGCACGCGCCCCACCACGGCGTCTCGAAGTGTCGGACGGTGGTCCGACGGAGGGTGGCGCTCACCAAACGTTCACCCCTTCAAGTCAGAGAGGAATCGGTTCATTTCTCGGTGGTGTCCGTGGAATCATTTTCGGATGCCGCGGGGTTCCTCTTTTTTGGGGTGTCCCAGCCATGCCACGCCATACAGCTTCTCACAGGAGTCGCGGACTCGTTGGAATAAACTGGAGACCCCACAGTGGGCAGATCGCGCCATTCATCCACCATGCTTTCCTGTACCTCACCGCAACCGCACAACCGGAACGGACCGGCGCGGACCGGCGCGAGCGCGCCAGCCGCCTGCGCGAGCCTTTGGCTGGCCAAGCAATGGCACATCACACAGAACTTGAGCGATATCAGCACGCAACCTCTGCCAGCCGCAAGTGTCACCAGGCAACCGGTCGAAACAGTAGCAAACTATATTGTAGTAATATTAGTTATATATATTGTAAGTTGCTTGGATCTACTTGATGCCCCACTCCAAAATGCTTCCTCTCTCTTTCTCTCTTTCTTATGTTGTTCAAACCAATTGATGTGTTGTTTTCAGATTGAGCTATTTTTGTTGCGCTCTTCTGCAGCTTCTTCACATCCGCATAGAATCCGAATTGTTTGAGAGCATTGGTCCATGTGCAATATTTGCAGGACGTATGTCGACATCTGTGATTGGTTTGGGAACGAACTTCAACCAATGCTTTATAGATTTTCTTCAAAGATCTTCAAAGCATTTCTTCTACAGTAAATGGCGAACCATGGTGAACCTGCTCCTTTGAAATCACTCCAGCAAGAGGCTTGGAAAAATGGAACAACGCGTTTCTTTCTAGAAAGCCCCACTGTCCCTCAAATGCGTCGAACATCCACCGGCCTCCGCAGACTAAAAGGCCCACCATCGCACTCTGGGGGAACATCCAGCTGTAGGGCAAGCAAAGGTCCACCTGGACGATCCATACACGATGCATCCACCGATCCGGTCGGTGTCTCGGCGGTCGTGCGAAGGTGTCGAAGAGAGGTTTCGGTAGAATGAGGTGTCTGGAGTCCGGAGTGTCGAATGGTTCCTTTCGAAAGGAGAACCCAAGAAAGCAAGCACCATTGCGGTTGAAATTATGGATCTCCTGAAACAGGTGAAATGGCAACATACCACTTGCCAGTCACTTGCCACACCAGACCCAGCACAAGAAGGTACCGCCTCCCTTTTCCGCGCGTTTTTAGCGCTCCCGACTCTTCCCACGCCTGCAGCGAGACCAGCAGCATCGGCATCCCCACGAAGATCACTCGTGAGAAAAGCCTTGTGGATGAAGCCATCCAAACCGTCCAAACCGTCCCGCGTCGTGCAGCGAAAGGACCACGACCGGCGTTCGAGACGTCGGAAGGGTCGGAACGGTCGTCTCGGCCGGGATCCGTCCGGGGAGCGGAAGACACATCCGTCCGTAGACTCGAAGACGAGATGAACGCGTCCCATGCCAAAGAGGTTATTCAATAACCAAAGAGCGGATCTCGCACTCGCCGCCGATGGGCCGGATCCCCACGAACGGACTGCAGTCAGTCTCCCTCGGCTTCTGGGACAACCCTTTGGATCCAACACAGCACTGAGCACTCACCGCGTACATGTTCCGTGGGGTGTGACTCGTCTGACGTCATGCTTGCGGATCTTTCGTGTTTGGGGCACGCCGGGCACGTGACTCTGACTGTCTTTCGGGCTTCCGGAACCGATCACCAGGCCCCGCAAAGTTCGCCCCAGGCCCCCGACCAGTGGACCAGCAGCGCTGGCGATAGGGGGCATCCCTGGCCACGTGGCAGAGTCGTATGCTTCCATGTCAAAGGACCCGCGCACACCATAGTGATGAGGAAGGGCTCTCCCGGAGGAACAAACAGCGGTTTCAGAGGGTTGATGGCGCAACCCCCAAGTTTGGTGGTTGAAATGGACCCCCTATAAATGACATCTTTGGGTTTGAGCCATCTATTCTGAAACCACTGTAAGGGGAGGACTGGGAAAGCCACACGCTTCGAAGAAGGGACCGTGTTCAGACCCCAAGAGGAAAACAGGTCCCCTCTGCAGGGTCGGGTTGGATTGAAAAAATGACAACCTTGGAGGTCGCCGAGGGGTGCCTCGCTGGGGCGTGTGGCTTCGATGGGGAGATGTTTGGAAAGACGCTCGGCCCTGGGGTGGAAGTGAAGACTCCGGAAATCCGACCCTCCCCTTCAGCCTGCAGGGGGCACCTGCTACGATCCCACGAAACACGAAACAGCACGAAGGAAGCAGGACAAAAGCACGGAAGAGCGCCTTTTCAAAGGTTCGCCTCGTTGAAATGATCTTTGTTTCAAGAGGCCATTCAACTAGGGAGACCTCCCAACGGAGCTGGGAGCTGGGAGCGAATTTTGGGGCGAGGACCGGTTCCAACGGATCTCTCGTGGGTAGGTACATCGATGTTCCTTGTCACAGTAAACGCTCCCTGGAACTGGCGAAGAGTAGGTCTCCCGTGGTCTATTTCAGCACGGTCGGAGATGGTCATGGACATGGAGCTCTTCTGGCCAGACTCAGTAACTCCGCTCTGGACCAAATGTATCATTTCAAGGATCCAATATAGGCTTTAGCTTTAAGGTTCTCTATTTTACAAAACATACCTGCCTGTACCATCATGAATTGACGTGCTTCTAGTATGCTTCTTGTCGCTGTTCTTTGTGATGCTGCTTTGTACTGTATGAGACATGTTTGGACTGCCAGTTTCAAACCAAAGCAGTGGAAGAATTAGGATTTCCCTCTCTCTCTCTCTCTCTCTTTCTTCAGAAGGCTTCTCACGACCATCCCGCGACATCCTTCTTCGCCAGCTAGCTGGCTCTAGACCCATGGGCCACAAGTTGCGGTGAATCAGTCAAAGTTCCCCTCAGGCCAATGTGGATAGAAGACCTCTGGATCGAAGTCACAGGTCCTCAGAACCGCCAACCAACCACGGTAAAAAACCGTCACGGGGACCGTCAAGCGGCCCACTTCTTCGAGCACCAAAAACAAGGTTTGGAAGCCGCCGTTGTCCACACTTCGTTGTGGAGCCGCGGTGTGAAACTGATAATGTATCCTCAAGAAATGGTCAAAGAGATCGCAGCTTGCCAAAAGCATACCCCTATCTCAGACGGTTTGCTCTGTCAATTGCTCTTCATATATTGCCACAGCTTCATGTCTGACCCAAGCCGAAGAATCTTCGTGCCTGACCACTTTTGGGTTCTTATTGCAAAGGCCAAGAAGCACCCTCGACAAAAATCCTTTTTTGTGAGTCCTTCAGTCACCCCAATTTCGAGCCCCTCCCGTTTTCGCCGGCCCCTCCCGTTCGCCCGGCAGCTCCTCTACAAACCTCCCAACCTCGCGCGCGCCACAGACGCAGACGGTCGCCACCAATGTTCAGCGACCAAGAGGCGGATCTTTCAGGTAGGGGTGATCCGGGTACTTCTTCATGAATTTCTGCAGCGTGATGTCAATGCGCCTGCGGAACTGACCGTTCCGGTGCACCAGGACTTTCCGGCGCTAAACGAGTGGGTACCGATAGAGAGCTCCATTTGGACGCATGCATCCGCAAAGACCAAAAGGAGAGTACATCAGACGACATGATCTGTTCCAACAATATATATATATACTATATATATATACTATACATTATATATTAATATTGACTACATATATATGATTACATAAAATAAATATATATATATATACATTACCAGCACCTTCCAACAGGTCACCACCTGCCAATTTTAAGTCTGCAAAAGTCACCATGTCGGAGACCTGCTACAGTCGTCAGGTGCTGGTATACACATGTACAGTATGTTCGCAACTGTTCACAGGACGCCGAAGCCGTCGATATTGGTGAAGCCGTCGGCCTCCAAACCTCAGGGCACAAGGAAGGCTCCACTTCTCAGAGTCCAGGAGCTCAAACTGATGCTACTGCTTGCTGCCAGACACTGCTACTGCTACTGCTGACACTATTGCTAATGCTACTGCTTGCTGATGCTACTGCTTGCAGCGTGCATCTGAAAAAAGGAAAAAGAACACTGGCTCGCTTCTTCCCAACAGCGGAATGCATCGGTGTGCCAGACTGGCGGCCTTTAGGCCACTCACTGCCTTTCTGTGCAGTTTCGAGCGTCGGGCGGAGATGCAGGGGTAACGACGCATGTGGGGGTTACCAGCAGCACTCTCCCTCCGCATCGAGGTCATAAAACATCTACCAGAGGCCAGGGAAGCTCGTGTGCCTTCAAAACACCCACGTGGGCATGTGCGGTCTCTTAGGCAAACAAGCAAAGCTCTCCCATCGCGGACAAATGGCAGACCCAAGGAGCAGTGTGAGTGGCAATCAACCACTACAAGGCCTTCGCCTGCAGCTTTCAAAAATTGTTCCACATACTGCACACACCATGCTATCAGCTGCTATCATGCTATCAAAATCAAATGAATTCCCCATCCCTGGCACATGTGGCTCAGGTTCCGCACAAGTCGAGAAATCGAAGCCCTTGTGCCTCAAACTGGTGGTGCAGTCTCAGCCCGTTCCAACCGGTGCCTACAGCTGGTCGGTGGTGCAGGAGCTCCCATGACCGTTGGACGTGTCACACTTGCTCCGCCCCACACAGCTTGATGTTTCTCATGATAATCTTTGCAGTCAAATCGACACCAAAACCGATGCGCGTGCACAGCGGTGTAGGCATAGCCAAAGAGCATCGCGGAGCGCAGTGCTGCGAACAGCAGAGTTTTGTCCTCAAATCCCTTGTAGATACGCCAAAAAAGTGCAGCCATGTTGAGCACCTTGACAGGAATCATAGCATGCTGCCAGCGCACTCCTACTTGCATTGTGGCAACGTCAGGTGAGTAGTACACACGGGCCGACATATGGTTGGCAATGCTCTGCAGTCCAACACCGACCCCCAACCAGACAATTTGCCACTGGCCTCTTGCGCCAAAGTCTCCGAACTGCACCAAAAGCAAGAGAACGCCCATGTGATGATACCAAAGGTCAAATGGCAGTGCAGGCCAACGACCTCGGGAATCAAACACCCCAATCTAAAGGCACCATAAAATCACAATGTCAGGGAAAAAAAAAGAACAGACTCTGAAAAGTCAAGTGGCCGATCCAATCGATCAGGTCCGCAGCACCAGCAATAATCAAACATGTGCACACCCAGAAGTGGCTCAAATCATTGTCTGCCACGACCAAGATCATGAGAACAATCACCCCGCTGAGAAGGATGGGAGAAGTCCAAAGACGCAGCTCACTGCCCACCACGGTTTTTTGGTGCCGCTCTGAAAGATGTTGCCAGAATGCAATTCTCTGCGCTCTTGCTTCAATATGCACACGGGCCATGTTCAGAATGCTGCACAAAATGATGGCATAGCTGAGGCGCATGTCGATCAGAAAGTCCGCAATCCGGTTGGCCCAGAGCTCCAAGTCGGTCACTTCCTCCATCGCGCAGATCAACACGCCGTCCGCCAACTGGTGGTTTTGAGCTGCTGCAGAAGCCACAAAAGGGCACAAAAGGGCAGGAGAAAGTACAAGGACACCAGCTCCAAAACGAATGTCATCCAAAACCATGCAAAAGGCTACGGGATTCGTCTACACACGAAGCTATCACAAGAACATCCTGCGAGAGTGGCCAGAACTCGCACTCACCCCACCATACTTTTCTGGGCCACCCAGCGATGATCAGGATGATCAAGAGGATCAGGACCAGCAGCAACAAAATGATGGTCAAGCGAAACGTTCTCAGATTTCCACAACGCCCTCACAGTCATCGAGTGAAACAGCCAAGTGAAAACCGTAAACCGAGAGCCGAGATCGCCGGAAACCGAGAGCCGAGCCGAAATCGTCGGGCGTTCGTTCGCCGCCCGCCTCTGGTTGGCACTGGTCGAGTTGATGTGATCCCAGAAATGCAGCAGCTTCCCCTGGAGAATCATGGTCTTCTGGGGTTCTTCTACAAGCTCAAGCATAGGTCTGTCGTTATGAAAAGAGCCCAAAAGAATATTCTGGCTCCTGTATAGTCTATCTGCCCGCACAAATCATGTGATCTGTCGGCCAAGTCGCAGATCTTTGTGGAGATCATTGTCTGCGGCACCAACAGAATGGAATTGATACTAACAGAAAGCATCTTTCAGCAACCTTTTTACAGGATAAAGCCACAAATGCAGGAAACTTACAATGGCGTCAGTAAATCTCCCACTGTAATGGACAACTTGTGCTGAATCAGCCATCTCACTTTCCAGAACCCTGCATTCATCAAAACGCTCCAGTGACAGTAACCAACAAAGTCCAATCGCATCCTATCTTCAAAAGCCCATTCCGGATGGTCTCAGGACTGCCTGGTCTCCCCGCACGCCAAAGGGCGGCCCCACGTGGCTTCGTCGTTCTCTTGTCACCACACCACCCGGGCACGAGCTCGTGCCAGGGTCGGTCTCACCTCGTCCGTGGCGCGGCTGTACTCATAGCCGCCCTTCTTCATGAGGTCATCGAAGCTGCTGATGTCTGTGCCACGGAGGGTGAGGGGCACTCTGGTGGCATGAAAAGTGGCGAACTGCACCACTCCCAGGAATTCTCCGGAAAACCTTTCAAAAGGAAACAGATTGACCCCACCTGCACGACACGCCTACGCGAACGTCCAAAAGAATACGAATCTTTAAAAAAGAACTGGAAGTATCTGATCGTCTTCGATCCCCTAACTTTCGTTCTTGATCAATGAAAACATCCTTGACAAATGCTTTCGCAGTAGTCCGTCTTTAACAAATCCAAGAATTTCACCTCTGACAGTTAAATACGAATGCCCCCAACTATCCCTATCAACCATTACTTCAGCTCTAGAAACCAACAAAATAGAACTCAGGTCCTATTCTCCCAGACTCCCAGCCTTCTAGCTCATCAATGCTCAGCTCACCTACTTTCTCGTAAGTGTAGGTGCAGTCCCACTCCCCTGTGGGCTCTTTACCTGAGGCGACCAACGGTGGGTTCCTCACCCCCTCTCAACGCTCGAGGCGAGGCTTGTCCCTTGAGATCTAACTTGCTTGTGAATGCTGAAGCTTCTCCTACTCCCAGCTTATGATCGTCTATGCCTGTCTGTCATGGCACCGGGACCCCCCGGCTTTGACCCTCCGAACATGAACAGAATAGACTGCCGAGAAGGTCAACCTACTGGGCACGAAACGATCCCCACATGGCACCATTGGTAGAACTTCTACCCATCGTTCGTCACCCGGGAAGGCGCGAAGCGCTTCACCGGGGATTTGCGTCGTTCTTGACCGATCGAGCCACCGGCGGGGCATGCTCCGCTGGGCTCCGTTCGGGCACACTCCTGGTCCTTGGCCCAAAACCTCGGCTGCAACGTGCACGGACCGAGGACCGGGGAGGAGGACGGTTTGAACGAAAGACCAGCTGACCATTGGCTGACCATCAGCCAGGTCATGTTACTTTGGGTCTCTCGATTGGATGCGTGAAACGTCCCCACAGAGCCAGATCTGGACAGGTGTATGATGACACCTTCCTAGTGAGGTATCTTTCAATCAGCACGGGCAGCGTCTCTTTGACAAAGATCATGAGAACCAGAACAAGACAACATCTTCTCATCCATTTCTTTTGTTTGGCTAACCTGTTTCTGGGTGCGGAAACAGAAACCCGTCTGGCGCCTTCCCTTCCTCCCGTCACAGGCAGACCCACCTCCCACCAGAACCGGCAAGCACCTCCCACCAGAACCACGGAGCTTTCGGGAAGCACATTCTCCCGGCAAGCTGTACCAGGCGGCATCTCGGCGATGGAGACGCGTCACCGGGGAGACAGGACGTCACGTCGGGGGGGTCTCTCGGGGAGACACACCCCGTCGTGTGTCGGTCTGTTCCCCCCGCGACTGAGACCGGGGTGGAGACCAGGGAGATCGGCTGGAAGATCCATCCCCGAACTCGAAGCGATGCGCTTTGCTCCGTTCGTAGCGTCCAAAAAGGAGAACCCACGAGACCATACCGAGACCCACATTCATTCACCGGCGCCGAAGAGGTTGCGATTTGGGGTCTGAATTCGTTAAAAGCATCGGACGACGAGGCTTCAGGTTCCATTTGGAAGGCGTCCAGGCTGCTTTGGGGGTCCATTCATCTCGAATGTGGACTTGATTCATAACCCCCAATTGGTTGAAAAACCTCTTCCAAATCACCTCCCACATGGTAAAGGGTTCGTAGCTCAGGAGAATGTTTGTTCTGTGATACCAAATAATTAGTGCTGGTGCAAGAGTATGCCCTCCTGCAGCGTTATGGACACAACAGAATGCGAATCTTGGCCTCAACCGCTGGGGCCTCCCGCTGGGATATCGAACCCGACCATACCTTAGCTGCTAGCTCGCCCGAACTGACAGGTGCACACCAGCATCCAGGAAGGGTTGAGTTCCGGGGCTCCTCTGTGTGTTCAGACCAAACAGGGCGGGTGGGTGGGTGGATCTCAACACTGAGCGTCCAACTTACGGCTCTCTGGGGGACAACTCTCCTCTGCCTCAAAAGCCCGTCAGTCCACTCCCCTCTGCATATCAAGAGGTAAAGGAGTAGTATGGGTCTATCATGTCTATCCCAGTCCCAGCTCTTCAGTTTCGATGTTGTTCAAAAACCGCCGGGGCGGTTGGATGGATCTCTTTTTTCGGTGCTCCACAAAGACCTGGGCTTTTTCGGTGCTCGCAGGTTGCACCTCGGGACCTCCAGCCTTCCATGCCGCCCCACTCGAACGACCCCACACGAATCGGTGGGACGCCCAGCGACGGGTCCACGCGGTGGACAGAACTGCCCGGGTCCAAGGAGCAACGGTTGAGTCATGAACATGAAGCAGCTAAGCAGTCAGTTGATTAGGTGTGTGAAGCCTAATCAGTCAATCAGGTTGAGCAGGGTGTGCTGCCAAGAGAGCCATTTGTCCGGTGGCTGCTGCAACTAACTACGGCGTCTGAAACAGCTAACACCAGCGAGAGGCCAAACCTTCACACGTTCGCCCCCCCATACACTCTAGACACTTGTACATCAGAGAAAGCCGTTCCACCACCCCACCACACCACCAAGCCACGCACAGCACCTACCTACTCTTTCGTCTGTGTAGCTTACTTCTCTGGCGAACCTGGTTCTTTCCCTCACTGAAGCCTGGCCAAGATGCCATTCCTCATGAGGCCAGTGATTGTTCGTGCCAGGATTCCAGGTTTCACAGCCCACCTGGGGGGCCAGGCTCATTCACCACCCACGAGGGTCGAAACGAGGGTAGTTTTTCGGAGCCGTTTTTTGGTGCGAAACGACAGGCGGGGAGGAAGTACCACAGGCTCTGCTCATGGGTCGTCAATTCATTGATCAATCTTCATGCGCTGGAGCAAAGTAAAGCGAGTGTAACTCTTGGCAAAACGCGCCGCAAAAGGATGCCTCCCACCTCCGCCAGAAAATTGGGGGTCCAGCAGTCCAGCACTGGCACAAACAATGCAAAGTAATCAAGAAACTGGCTAAAGACCCAAAATGGAGGAAAATTGAGCCACTAGCGCGCTGAAATGCATTGCAAAGGCAGGATCTTGTGAGGCACAAGTTCTGAAGTGATACGTGGCGGGCCCATCTACCCAATGCACTTCCATCCTTTGGGCTTGGAATGTTGTGTTTTTCGAAGTGCACATCCCAATCACCTTCCCATTTCGCGTCCCAAAATATCAAACAATATTGGCCGTGCTTCCGCCCCAACAGGTTGTCGTTTTTCTCCTGTGGGACCTTTGATCGAGGCACAGTTGGCCCATAGTGCTGCAAATTCTCGCACTTGAAGGGTCCAGTGCACTTTCCGATGTCGTAGGTGTTCACGATCCCAAAAGCCATACCCTTCTTCCAGAGCCTCAGAAAAGAGAGGCGCACGAGAGGCGCATGGCCCTTGACCTAAGATCGCATGATATATATATATATAGGTGGTTCCATGTTGGTTTTCTGAGGGGTTCAAGTCTGGCAGGATCTTGGGTAGGATTCCCACATAAAAAAAGGATCCGAAGTTGCACGCCACCGTCGCCATGTAAAGGCAGGATCATTGCAGCCAAAACCTTGAAGCTAGACAATCCCACAAGGAAAGTCAACTCACACATAAACAATCATAATCTATGTCCTTGCTTCTGGATGGTCACTACCACACGAAGCAATAGGGCGTCTTTCGCGGACACTTTACCGCAACCCTTTGCATCGTGGAAGCTCAAAAAAAGGCCCTGTTGAATGTCCCCACGCTACGATCCCCATCAGCGTGGAACCGGGCATAGCTCGATGGCGGCGCTGGGCACCCCGACGCGCAAGTGGGTCTCATCTTCACACGCCACTGCTCAATCCGTGTCTTTGGGATGCTGGAGAAGCTGCCCACCTCAGCGAATCGATCGGTCCATGCATCGATCGGCCCAGGCGTCTTGTTGACATGCAGGCAGGGCCAGTAATGGGATCCCAGCAAGTCCGATCACCGGTTGCCCTCCCAAAGCATGACTCATGACCGGTTCAATACAATGGCGCAAGGGCCAAAAAGGCAACAAGGCGAATAGAGGTGGAGTCCATGGGAGTATGGTTGGTCAAAAAGCTGAACTATTGACTCATGACATGCAGTGGTCGAGTCTCTCTCTCTCTCTCTATCTTTCCCTCTCTCCACTGCAAAAACGTCGCACTGATGTCTCAGGAAGAGCTTCACAGTAGCAACAATACGTGAACCACGCCTTCGATGCAGCCCTTCGGGCGCGAGAGCTCTGAGATAAGACCATCGGGAAGTCCCATCGATTGGCCGCCGGCGGCCGGACACCCGAATCGAGAACGCTCCGGTCGCTCCAAGTCGCCCGGATCCAGTGGTGCCAGATGATCTCATTGTGCATGTACCAGAGCATTCCGCCTGGCCGCTGGCCGCTGCGTCGGACGTTTATAATATACAAATACATATATATATATATATATTGTGTTTTTTGTCGAAATCACTACCGAGGTCACATGTTGAGCTTCGATCAACCAGTCATGCATCCGTTGCATGTGTTGTGGCCACCTCTCTCAAAGCACGAGGTGGGCGGGACGAGGATCGCTCGAGCCATGTTGTGGTAAAAGAAGAGTGGTCTTTCAACACGGTTGAACTGCTAGGGCAGTGAAGCTACCAATCATGCGCGATTGGTAGCGGAGCCTGGTGATCCTTGGTGCCATGGCTTCCGCAGGTTCAAGTGAGACAGGATCACTTGCATCCCAGCTGGCGCAGTTGGTGCCGAGTTTTGACCCCGGGTTGGATTCAGTTGAACAATAGTCACAAAAGATCAAGCTCCTGATACACGCATGGCCGGAGAACCGGATGAAAGAGCTAGCAACCCGAATCATCTTCAACACCAAGGGCTCGGCCTTTCAGAAATTGGAGCTGAAACAAAGCCAGGTTCTCACTGGAGAAAAAGCTGGCATTGGGTTTGTTGCCGGCCAATTCGGCCAGATCGACCTCGAGAAGAAGTACGAGATTGTGGGACGAGACATCAGACTCGTTCCTGGCCAGAGCTGATGTGGCTTGCACGGAAGTTCATATGAAGAAGGTGTCATTGGAGGAGGTTCAGGCCTCCATCATTCTTAGAGGCAGCCGCCTGACCGCAGAGGACAAGAAGAGAGCTTAACATGGTGGAAGTCTGACGATGTCCAAAGTTCAAGCTGCCGTTCGTATGTTACACAGTTTTTCCAGGAGATGGTCACTGGGAAGAGAGAAAAGAGCCAGAAAACATACGACAACACCGCATTCGTGACCGAGGATGACTTTGATGAGGACGAAGGAGCATGGGCCTTTGTCGAAGACCTTAGAGGAAGACCACAATGAGCATCTTGGCGCAGAGGATGAACCAGACGCAGCATTGATCCTGCAATTTGAGAGCGCAATACAGGACATGGTACAAGACGATGGAGAGTTGTCAGCATTTTTTCCACATACCAAGACGTTCGTCGTCGCCTTCAAGAGCGTCTTGAAGCCCGAAGATTCTGGGGAGCTGGAAAGGGGAATTCAAGCTTCTTAAAGGGGTCCGGCAAGGGAAAATGGAAAGGCACGAGCTTCAAAGGTGGTCGAGGTTTCAAACCCCTCCAACAAAGGATTGCAGAATCCTACTGTCGTTTATGTCATCAAAAGGGGCACTGGCGTGCGGAATGCCCCATGAAGAAGACCTCAAGCGACAGCAGTGCAGCCGAGAAGATTTGAACCAGGCGCCCGAGATCGTTTTCGAAACTGCAGAACCCGAGGACCAGGGCACGTGGGTGTTAGGGATGGTTGAGCAAAAGGTGAAGTTTTTTGAAAACCAAAGCAAAGAAGCCAGGAAATCCCATGAACGCACTGAGCCGAGCGCCCGAGAGCAGAACACCCGTCCTGAGCATGAGCAGGTTTCTCCGTTGCCGGTCGAAGTCCCCTCGAGCCTGTTCGCATCCGTATAGGTACTATCGGCGTAGTCGATTTAGGAGCATCTCAATCTGTGATAGGTGATGAACAGATCCCCGAGTTACTAGGTAACCTCCCACAGGAGATTCGCGAGCAGGCACGTCGGACTCCGCGCAACCTCATTTTCAAGTTCGCCAATCATCAAACATTGCCCAGCAAGACCGCCTTGCTCCTCCCGCTGTCGGGCAGCTGGATTCGCATAAGAGTGGTGAAAGGGAACACGCCGTTCCTTTTGTCAAGCAGCTTCCTCAAGCATATTAGAGCCGTAAAAAACACAGACCAAGGTACCTATATGGTCCAAGACCCTCCAAAGATTTTTGAAAATGTCTCAATCGGCCAAAAATTTGTTTTTGCTTGATATCAACCAGTTATGGGAGAAAACCCATAGAGAGGAAGACACCAGAAACGGCTTTGACGGTCAAAGAGACCCGAACAAAGACAGGAGGTCAGGAGGTCAAACAAGACCAACTTTCGAGTGTCCAAAAGACGCCAAAGCGGCCATTTGCACTCGCCAAATCGATCAATCAGCCGAATCGTGCACACTTGAAGCAGTCATTTCATCGAACGTCGATCGAACCGGGTCTTCAGTCGCGCCATCGAGAATCGAGCGAGTCGAGAAGTCGTACCACAAAGGACAAACATTGCAGAGTTTTGGTTCAAGCCGTGCGTTGAAACCTTCGCCTTCCATCGCAGCACAATGTCGGAACTCTCAGCTCAGCTGTTCCGCCTTCAGAAGAGTCAAGATTAGGAGGAGAGTGAAATCGATGTGAATCAGATGTCCCTCCAAGATCTCGAACAGCAAACGATCCTGTTTGGCAAGACCAAATACGGCATGAAGTTCTCTCAGGCCTTCGAAGACGTGAGCTGGACCAGGTTCATCGTGAGCCGATACGAAACATCGACAAAGAAAGAGCACCGTCTCTACATCCAGTATGTCCGCCTTCGCCTTCGCCAGCTGGAAGTCGAAGAATTGAGCCCAGAGGAGAGGTACTATCTCAACCAACCGAGCCGCAGTCATCTCGGGGCCCGCGCAGAAGCCGCATCCGACATATGCTCCGGAACTGCCAGAGATCGACCCGGCGATGACCCAGCAGGTGATTCAGACACAGGAGACCCCCTGACCTCCAAGGTCGCATGCTGCATGTGAAAAACGCTCTCCAAGAGATCGCTCGACACCTGAGGACACTCGCCTCCGCGACAAGCGAGAATCCGCAAGCTTGGACGGTTGTGAAGAACGAGCAACCGGAGGTTTGAGCTCAGCAGAACTTTCCAAGATCTCAGCAGAATGCTTCACTTCAGTGCACAACATCTAGCCGACCAATCACTCGGTTTCGACCTTTGGAATAAAGCCAAAACGAAAGCTCTATATACAACCGACATGTCCATGAGATTCGAAAGGAACTTGAGCTAGTCAAAAATCTCATCAAGAACAAGACCAACAAGCCAAGTTTTCTGTTTGAGCTCAAACCCACTGAGAAAACCAAAGAGTCATGTTTTATGTATGAGCTCTTTTGTTCATCGCAGAGCGAGATCGTGCGACACAGCCAAAGCCGCGGGCTGAAAGCTTTTCGCTTCGGCCTACAGCAAGGGGACCTCAGCCTAAGCATCCACCGGAAAAGACTGTTCACACACCTCGTCTATGAAAAACCAGAAAACCTATGGATAACTCCGGAGTGCAAACCATGGTGCGAGTGGACATCACTAAACATGAACAAGTCTCTCGAAGCACATGAAAGATCTCTTGAGTACCAAAAGGCAAACATGTGGCAAATTGCAGCTTGACAACGGACTGCATTGTCACATCGAACAACCAGAAGGATCCAAGATGCTGAGGCACTTAAGCTTTGTTCACATGAGCCAGATTGCCAGACCATGCAAGTTCGACCTGTGCACAGTAGGTGATCTAAGACACCCTGAGACAAACGAACTGATCAAGAAACGTTTGATAGTCTTGACCACCTCCAAAGCCTTGTTCGAAGCAATGCATCAGAGAATGAGAATGTGTCCAAAGACCCACAAACACCATCAGATAGCCGGAAGTGTGCGAAATCCCGAAAACAACCGGGGAATGGCACTGTCAGAGTTTACTGAACGGTACCCCTCGAAATTTGCACGACAAAACGTCGCAGTCCGCATTGAGGACCACCCAACAAAAAGAAGGAGGGTCAGTCAAAAGACACCCACAAGTATATGCAATCCCACATGGGAAAACATCATGCATGAGGTAGACCGAACTGCCCGACGAGTTAGACCGCCCACCATCTTGCAAGGACCAATCATAGAAGCTGTTCGACTCATGTGTCCAGACAAAGAAATATCCCATGTTGTTTTGCGCAGAGGGATTGATAGAATGCTTGGCCCAACCAAAGTGATGTTTCCCGGAGAAGGTCCCCAAAGGAAAATGGTACGCATTCGGCGCAGGTTCGAAGACATCGTGGTCGAACCGGAATGGGAAGACTGGGAAAGACTGTCATACCGTCAGCTTCGTAGGAAGTGCACTGCAGCTCGAGTCAGCGTGACCGTATTTGCCAAGCCGAAGTCAATCCCAGGCCAGAATAATTCGCAAGAATATGAGCTGGGTCCGGAAGACTCAGACAAACCATCGGCTTCAAAACGAAAGGAGGTCATGGAGGACACTGAACAAGATCAAAAGGAAGGGAAAATCATAGAGACATCAACTGACGCGGAAACTTCGACAGACACCATTCCGGAAGACATCGACCTAGCTGGCCAGAAACACGGACCCAAGTTCCTAGAGCTGAAACAAGAAGAACAACAATGGATAATCAAGCTCCATAAGAAGTTAGGGCATCCAGTTAGTCAGAAACTGCAAACAGTTTGGCGACACCTCAAGTGTGGAAAACATATCATTGGTGCCATACCAGATCTCCGATGTTCAGCGTGCATCGAATGCAAGAAGCCTGTCGCGCCGCGTCCCGCCGTGGTCCATGAGGAGAGAGACTTTGGCGATGTTGTCTCAATGGATGGGGTAACATGGACCAACAAAGCAGGAACGCAATTCCATTTTTATCACTTCGTAGACCACAGCACAACATTCCAAACAGCATTTTGTTCGCCATGTAGGACAGCCGAAAGTGCCATTCGAGCAATAACACAGGGGTGGATCAGTTGGAGTGGACCACCTGGACTACTGTGCGTAGATTCAGCCGGAGAGTTTTGTAACGAAGAATTCAATAGTTTTCTCCAGAGACACAACATCAAACTCAGAATGGTTCCGCCCGAGGGCATCATGGCAAAATGCCAGAGCCGAAAGATACGGGGGGATACTCCAGGAGATGCTCACCAAAGTCGACCAAGAAGGAGGGATTGGGGACTACACGATGCTCGAGCAATACCTTGCCATTTGCACACAAACAAAGAATTGCTGGAGCAGGTATAGAGGATTCCCCCCCCGAACTCTTAGCGTTTGGAAAAATGCGAAAGTTCACTGGATCTGTGACCAGTGATGCTGAGACATCAGCACACCTGCAGGCCGAAGAACCCTTAACAGAGGGACAAAAGTTCCGAAAGGAGCTCCAAATTCAAGAACTTGCAAGAAAGGCATTTGTCCAAGTGGACAACAGCCAAGTCCTCCGCAGAGCCATTGTTCAGCGAAGTCGTCCGCGCAGAGGCAAGTTCTATGCCGGTGACTGGATCATGATCTAGAGAAAGGAGGGTAGGTGGATGGGTCCATTCAAAGAAGACCAGAACCAAATATGGGCTAGCCGAGGCAATTTACTCTTTCGAGCATCACCTGAACAAGTTCGACCCCTGTCAGCATATGAAGAAGTCCAGTATCAAGATGAAATCAAAAAGAATTTTCCAGAACAGGAACGATCTTGTCACAAATCCACCAGAAACCATGAACAGAGAAACAGAAGATCAGAATACTCCTCCCTCAAATGTCAGTGAACATACAGACGGGGAACCTGAAACAAGATCCCATCCTGGATCACAGACTGCGGAAGTAGATGTTCCTCCAAATCCCGAACATGTCCCACTCCCGACTGATGACGAGCTTTTGTGCGAAGCATTCACCATACAAGAAGAACAATGCCGGCAACTAAGTTTCGACTTGACCGACCAAGAAACCAGCTAACTCGCAAGAACACAAGACACCGAAGAGTGCATAGCTCGTAACGAATGCCAAAAAGCAGAAAGTCGAGATAAAACTAGCGGATCTTTCTGCCGCTGACAAACGAAAGTTCACTGAAGCAAAGGAGAAAGAAATCGACAGTTGGCTTGAAACCAAAACGGTAGCCAAAATCGCCAGAAAGCGCATTCCAGCAGAAAACATCATGAAACGCCGCTGGATACTCACATGGAAAGATGGAGAGACCAATGAACATTTGACCGCAGGCACTTCGAACATGAATCGCAAACCAAAGGCGAGACTTGTGGTATTAGGTTACCATCAAGATCCCCTGCTCCATAACATCCAGAGAGACTCCCCAACCCTGACTAAATTGGGTAGATCACTAATACTGCAAATGGCCTCATCCAAAGCCTGGCGAATCTCATCATTCGATGCGAAAACCGCCTTTCTCAGAGGCACAGCTGATCAGAACAGAATACTAGCATTTGAGCCAGTCCCAGAATTTAAAAAAAACTGAAGATGCACCAAGGGTAGGTCCTCCAGCTTCTGAAAGGGGGCATACGGCCGTGCCGATGCACCACTGCTGTGGTTTCGGGAAATCAAACAGGGGTTACAACAACTCGGATTTCTGCAGTCACCAATGGACTCATGCCGAAGGGGAAACATGTGGAGCAATAGGCCTTCATGTGGACGACGGACTGCGCTGTGGAAATGCGGAATTCGAAGAAAAGCTACATGAGCTGTCCAAAAAGTACCCATTTGGATCTCGCAAGCACACCGATTTTATCTTTACAGGGATACACATCCACCAGTCAGCAGATATGTCAATATCCCTAGATCAATCCCAGTATGTAAAGGAAATCGAACCAATCAAAGTCCCATATTCTCGAAGGACAAATGCTGATGAACCCATAACTGAAGGCGAAAGACAAAGCCTGAGGGCATTCATAGGAAGCCTACTCTACGCAGCCGTAAATACTCGGCCTGATCTGTGTAGCAGACTCGGGGTCCTCCAGTCCAAGATCAATCATGGAAAAGTAAGTGACCTACTAGAAGCAAACAGAACCCTTCATGAGGCAAAGCAATTTTCCGATGTGCAAATCAAATTCCAAAGCATTCCCATCAATGATCTTCGATTTCTATCATTCTCGGATGCCAGTTTTGCGTCGAATAAGACTAGCAGCAACTCCCACCAAGGACTGATGATCATGGCATGCCAAAAAGAACTCGAAAAGAACCTCCCTAGCAAAGTCAATCCCATAGTTTGGGCATCCTGCAAAATACAAAAGGTAGCAGTAAGCACCTTATCAGCAGAGGCCATGTCCCTCGCAGGAGCAATCGACACCCTGGAATAGGTGAGGCTATTCTGGGATTGTCCGACAAGTGGCGTCTCGGAGACAAGACACTCTGTCAACTTCCGAAAGCCTTTTCGAGCGTGAGGGATGATTAACTGCTCGATCCAAATGAAGCCTTATGTAAAACAAGTGACATCCTCAAAGAGATCAAACCAGAAAAAGCAACCATAGCGACAGACTGCAAGAGCTTGCCCGATTCGGTCAATAGGACAGCAACTCCATCATGCTCGGAGTTCAGGACTCTTTTACTGATCAAGGAACATCTCGAAACAGGTGTATGCATAAGATGGGTTCCATCCGGTGCACAAATAGCCGGGGGCCTAACCAAGGTGATTGAAAATACAGTGTTGAGGGAAATCCTAAGGATTGGTCAGTACACCATTAGAGACGAAGCCGAGCCCCTGAGGCAACGAGCAGACACCAGAACTTGCATCAAGTGGCTTCCATCCAATGTCGCTGCAGATTCCGAGCATGGAAAAGCCAAGTCGTCCATACTCGAGGATCAGGAGCTTGATACAAAGCTATGACAGAGAGAATTTCTGCCAGGGGGCCTCAAAAGAGTGTTAACTTCGTCTTGAGGGTAAAACAAACATAGGCCATCTATGATTGTAGGGGTCGAAGATGAAGCAAGAGATCTCACTGCTGACTATGTGCCGCCCACAATGCCAATTAATCTTTTTTGTTCGCTCAAGCCATCAACATGTTTGACCAATTATAGAAATAAGATGTATGTCGAAAGCACTACCGAAGTCACATGTTGAGCTTCGATCCACCAGTCATGCATCCGTTGCATATGCTGTGGCCACCTCTCTCAAAGCACAAGGTGGGCGGGACGAGGATCGCTCGAGCCATGTTGTGGTAAAAGAAGAAGGGCTGCGGGATTTCCATTTTGGTCACCTTGGAGGTGCAACCGGATTCTTAGGCGTCTTTCAACACGGTTGAACTGCTGGGCAGTGAAGCTACCAATAATTTGTGAATATATATATATATATATATCATATATATATACAGTATACACACACATGTAGCATTTCTCGGACCAGCGCAAAAAGGATAGTCGACTAACCCAATGTTGTCTGTTCAGGTGATCTATTCTACCAATGGAACAGGAATCAAAGACCTCATTTTACAAGAGTTGGTCGTACAAAAACACTACTCCATAAGGTAAAGAAGTTGGTTTTACTCGTGCTTTGGACCTGTGGGGAATGGATCAGGAATCTATTCGACACAATTCCATCCCCCAGCCTTGGTTCGACAGTTCAGTTGGGGCCCCACCAAAAAACGTCCCATCTCAACGTCCCGATCTAGACATAGAGTCAACCACCACCAAACGAGGGGGTCACATGTGTCGTTTGAACTGTCAATCGCTTGTCTCAGAGTTCACCCCCTGCACCTGGCCCACTCGACATACTCTCGCCTATGTTTGCCATGTCCTGGTTCACCGGCGAGTAGTTCTCATCCGTCTGGGAGCGGTACATGTAGAAGTCCAACAAGGGAGCTTCGGGGCAGCCACCCGAATCTTGCCAGGCTTGGCCTGGCCAGCGAAGCTGCCCGCTGTGGCCGCGAGGTGTACATGATTTGGCCCAATAAGCTGCAGCTTTCGGCACGGATCTTCACTTGAAGTTCAGCTACCAATTCTTCCAATCGTCTTCCAAATCCCGAAACATGTCCTTCAAAGGCCCAGGGTTGAGGGATGTTGTGTTTCTGCCCGCGAGTTTGGTGCTTCGTAGGTGAGTGAAGGGACCAAACCTCTGGCTAGAGCCTCCTGGAAATTGTCAGGTCAGCCGCCGGTAAATTCTACACCAACCGCGGGGGGGGCCAAACCAGACATTTTGGTCAGATCCTCCTGTGTCGCTCCCTTGCACCGTCGCGTCACCGGAGCAGGTCGACAGGTCGAACCCAACTGCTCGGAGCGGTCTTTTCTCTTCGGCGGATGGAACCCCCCCCTGCAGCAGCGGAAAAAGACGCACCTGCCGTGCCCGAGGATGAGAGCCCGACCTGGTGCACTGACGAAGACGCGAAGGTGGTCGCAAGTCGAACCGCAAATCGACAGGGTAACTCGGCGATTCCGTCAGGTTCCGGGGTCTGTGCCCCAGTATACCCCGCAAAAACCCAAGTGAAAAATAAAGCATCTCCACACCGTTGGAGTGGATGTGTGAGTTCAGACCGTTGGAGGATCTGGTCGGTCGTCTGCAGTCATTGTTTTGGTGCGGGTTTGGCAGGGGCTGTCATCCAACAAGGGTCGTGGAGAGCTCGCCCCAGCACTGCGAGGAACGGCATGTCTCGGTGTTCCAAAGAACTTCCTGGCTCTCTCTTCCCCGAGTCCTCGAGGCTCCAACCCCACGAAGGCTGCGAGAGGCCGCTGGAAACCTGGCCAGACAGGAGGGCGGGTGGGTTCCTGGACCCACCAGGTTGACCAGGTTGACCGGTCGTTCTGGGGTTAGGTGTTCCAGGAACCAGCAACGGGCCGGTTCCAAGGGTCTTTGGCTTCGACATTGACACACCTCTGTCTGGGTCTTGGCCATGAAAGTGAGAGCCTTCACACAAGGGGCAGTAGCTTGGAGCGGTGGGAGTGGAAAAACCAAAACAGTCCCGGTGTCTTTGTTGGAGCCGCCCCTCGGTGCCGACCTGGGTCACAGCGACCGAGTCAAGCAACTCCCAGTTGAGCTCAACGAACCACCCGTCTCGGGTCGGGCACCGGCGGGTGGCGGAGACATGGGCCACCCACCGCCCCACCCCCACCGCTGGCCGAGCGAAACGGAGCCGGGCCGCAGGCACAAAGCAAGACCCACCTGGGACAGGTCCGCCGCTGGAGTGGGGAAGACTGCACAGAGTGCATTACAGGACTAGAGGCCCCCTTTCGCAACGTCCCTTTTCTCTCGGAGCTGCCCGAGTTTGAGACGGACCCCGCCACATCTAAAGCCTTCATTTACTGATTACTGAGAAACGTTCCACGAACTTCTTTCATCAAGAATTGCTGGTCAATCAGGGGGCCCTTCGCACTGGACTAACTCAAGTGAAAAGGGAACCTCTGACTTCCGATGTTTGCACCGAGACAACACAACCCAAGAATCAAGTGCTAACAGGTGACCACATCCACCCACCGTCGTCGATGCAATGGTCTAGAAGAGATGATCACAAGAGCGCAAAGCGGACCAGGGAGGACTGGAACCTCCAAACTCATGTGCTGACTTCGCCAGAGTGGCAAAGAGAGACGACGTCTCCTCCAGTGGGCAGCTGGTCCTCTGACCCACTGGGATGAACTGTGCACTGGCCTATGCATTGAAGGATCGTTGTCTTCAGTCGATATTTTCCCACTCCTAAATGTAGGAGGTGTATAGACTACGGGAACCTTAGCCTTAGACAGACAAGGCTCCGGTCTCCGCTCTTCGGCCGCCCTTCGGCCCAGGCACCGTGCCCAGCAGCCCCAGGGCGGCCGCCACCTTCAGCCGCAGCGCCGCCGAGGAGATCAGCACGGGTCGCCCGGTGAGGCTCGAGGACGGCCCTGGAGAGGGCGCGGGTCGCGACGGGCAGGGGACTAGGGGATCGCCTCGGCGGCTGAAGCACTGATCGTTAGGTGAAGAGTCTCTACTCAAAAGGAACAACGAAGAGGCTTACTGTCAGCAATGTTGGCTGAACGTTGCAAAGTGGTGATTCTGCATCAAGCCAACTTGGCCGATGTAAACTCAGGATCTTCTAGCTTCATGACCTTGGCTACTTCTACCCCGGGTTCCCCGACCCTTGCCTCAGTCTTCCGCGCCGAAACACACACTCAGTTTGCCCACAATATTCAGGGAAGTTTCCAACTGCAATCTACACATGATTTCGCGTGGAACGTGGTGAACACAAGGAACATTACCCAGCAAATGGTGTTTTTCACCAACAATGTATCACTAGAGTCACTCGCATCTTCCCTCGCCTTCCTCGGATTGCTCCAAGAGATCTTCCTGCTCCTCAGCTCAACTACCGCGGCTGGATGCACAGATTCTCCCCAGAAACGAGGAACCAATTGCACCAGTCCCATGCCATGTTGTTGGAACCACCCGACTCGCCGAACAACCCCAAGGCAACGAGCCACCGTCAGTGCTAGGCGTTCGGGATGAAAAACGCACCACTCTGGTACCACGAAAAACTCGGTGGTCTTCGCAGCTCCCGGGAACTTTCTTGAAAAGTCAACAAGTCATAGGGGTTGTCTCTGCCATCCTGTGCAGTCGGAAAAAAGGAACACAAAACAACATGAAAAACGTCAAAGGAGTCCGAAGCCATGTGCTGGAAGAACCCAAAGAAACGTCATTCTTGAAAATGTCTTCGAACCAGGAAGCCACAGGCCACAGGAAAGGAAGAATACTCTCCAATAGACCATCTCCCTCATTGAACATGCCCAAGGTAAAAGGAATCAAATCACTAACTCACAACCCTGCCTTCAAGTTCAGATGAAAATCCTGCGAGGTCAAATCTCTAATCATAATAATCAATGCATCTGCCCTTAAGGCTTGGATCCCTCTTCCCTGCGGTGTCAAGGCGCCTGGGCTTTCTCCACGGACCGGCCCACGTCCATTGCAGCAAGAGAACGAGTGCTGTTGGAAGATCCGCCAAACACCAGACCAGGGAAGCCTTTTCCACAACCAAAATCACCACGAAAACTCGATCCTTAGGCTTTGGGGTGCCCACGTCGGTCCCTTGCTGGGCGGAACCCTCGAGCCCAAAAGCACCAGCGGCCTCCATGACAAACCCATCCTCCATGCAGCATTGCACCCGCAGAAGCGCATTCATCATCAAGCCTTAATCTTCTTCGTCTTCTTCAACATCTTGATTCATATTCATCTTCTTCTTCTTCTTCATCTTCTTCTTCTTCTTCTTCTTCTTCTTCTTCTCCGTCATCGTCATCGTCATCATCCGCTTTCCCACTTCCAGGATTCCTTCCGCCTTCCACCAATTCCAGCGCCTCTTGAACCCAATCAGGGTCGCTGTTGGTCAACCGTGTGCGCCCGGAAAGCAACGCCCTCAGCCACCCAGGACCGGCGACGAGGCCGAAGTTGGGACAATGACCGGCACGGATGGCTTCCAACCGCCATTAATTTAAAAGCATGAATCCCAGAGAACCATGGTCTTACTAAAGATGTTACACAACATCTTACCACGTCAACCCTTTTTGAAATGGCCTTAGAAGGCCAAGGAAGGGGGGCCTTTTCGCAGTGCTTCTTTTCAAAAACCGCTCGGTGTGAAGCAAGCACCTCCAGCTCCAAGCACTCCGGCAAGTCCTACGACGTCCGAATCCGTTCGGATTTGCCGGGGGAACCACCTGGGACGGACCCGGGTGGGGGGTGGACCAGGACCGCGAACGGCCGAGAACGACTGCCCCGCAGAACTGGAGCCCCGGACAGGACCACCGCCAAGGGCATGGCACTCCACCAGGCCATCTGCGGGTGAGGCGGGGCGGCCAGGCCACGTGGCCCGAGCTGTTGGAGCGTGAAGACCGGTGAGTGAACTACAGCAAAGTAAAGCGATGGTGTAGACTTCATTCCACCTGGACACCAGTAGAACGATGGAGAGAAGTTGGACCGGGTCCAGGAGGTCCACACCACTGGACTTTGGGCCTTGTAAGGGAAGAACTTCAGGCTTGTCCTTTTCTTCGAATCTTCCCATGACCGACCGCAGCCAAAGACCGACCAAAGACCGCCTCCGCAGCCTTTTGGATGAACGACTCCGGTTTTACAGCAAGTTTGCAACTTTCAGAGAAACGTCGCAAAGCACGAGCTGCGTGGCAAAGCTTTGCGCCTCGCAAGCAGGAGTGAGGTTTTACCAACTCCGCTGCGGGAACAGCCAGGGCGGGTCACAGGACTCGTGTCCTTGGGCAGCGGCCTGGGGCCCCGCTCGACTGTCCGAAGGCAAGCCACAACAAGCTACTTGGCTGCTTAACTACGATAAATCAAAATAGCTAGCTCAAAAATGGGCAACTAGTGCCCCAAGGAAAATAAGAAGGCTACCAACGCCCTGCACGTTGGCACTGCTCATGGTATCCGCACAGGTCATCGCCAGGATGTCTGCTGCGTTGAGAACCTTGGAATCCAGTTCTCTACCCGAATGGATCAAAACAAAACACTCAACGACGTTCCATCTTTTGTGGAAACTCGCTTCTGGCGGATCCACCGTCCGCTTCTGCGTAGAAAGTCCAGTCCACCGTCCGAACCCACGCTCCGTCGAAGGAGCTGTGATGTTCTGACGTTGAAAGTCAGCAATGGCCTCTGCTTCGTTGGCATAGCTGGTGGGAGTTCCCCAGATTCCAGCCGATGCATCCATGATGATGTTGGCCTTGGCAGTGCCAAGTTGGCCCAAAACCATACCATGTGGTCCTTTGGGCAGTTGCACCGACCTCTTGTTCATGTCTCCCCTCATGGCAGGCCATCATCTGGTCCTTAGCCTGTGGCTCATGGCCTCATGGCATTGGCATCACCCTACTCCGTGGCAGGTGGAGCTGGCTCCGCACGTCTATTCCGGTCACTGAACCAGTGGTCACCAGGGTGGCTTTGACCCGAAGAACCCGCCCGATTGGCACCCCCCCCCCCCCCTTACCTGGTAGCCCAGCAAGTTCGCCGCATCCTCCACGGTCCAGCGCACACAGTGCGTGGTGGCGATGCCGGCGGCATAGATCTCAGTGACCCCGGCATCCTGTTGGCGTCGAGAATTTGCCACTTGTGTCTCTGGAACATCATGTTGATCTATGTGGCCCTCCAAGAAAAGAGCATCGACACCCGGTGTCCAAAGCTATGAAGCATCGTCCGAGAGCCACCGCGCTCGCACAGGCCCACTTGAACACCCGGCCTTCAGCGTCTTGTCCAAGGCGCTCTTGTAATTCCTCAGATCGGCTCGGTCCCAGCTCAGCCTCTTTGGTCCGGGTTCTGGTGAAGTCCCCAGAAGGACTGGCAGTGGAGCAAAAGAGACCTAAAGCTTAGGTTCCTTTCAAAATATATGCCTTTGGACCGTTCTACCCGCGGTCAGAAAAATGGACCGGTGAACCCAAAGATTTGCCATAAAAGCCTTCTTCCAAACAACACCAATTCTTCAACAAACATGTGGGGTATGCCATGGACCATTGGTAGGTCTCACCACCAAATGGTATCCCAATGGCCACCCCCAGCGAACGGCAGCATCGCTCCCACCTATCTTTTTGAATTGTCCAGTGGCCTACTGTTGGTTGAACAAAACATAGTGCGGTGCAACTAGCCTACGTGTCGGTGTCCTCCCTCCATCCTCAACCACAACTGACGCTCCCCGCTCTCTTTTGCCAAGTGATTTGGTTGGAATGGCCGGACTCCCGCAAGTATCTGCACAGAATCCAAGCTTCTTGGTATTGTCCATGAAGGCGCTGAACATCTCCACATAGCCTGAAGGGGGCAGTGGAAACCACATCGGAGGCCTTACCAGAATCCATTTCACCCAAGGGGCACAGGGTGTCCTAGGGTTTCCTAGGTGCTTTAACCGGTGCGAACCATGAACCGTCCAACCCGCCCGTGGCGGTCCGTTTCCCGGTCCCGCGCGTCCACCGGATCGGCGCGTGCCCTCTCAACTGGGGTGACTGCAGTCGGGCACTACAGTAGTGCTAAGAGTACTATATCATATAATAGCTAGCAATGTTCTACTATGTGTCAAAAAGAGCCCAACCCATGAGCGTGAATCACCGTGAATGCAGGATCAGAACAAACGCTACAAGCATTCAGGTCTACAACTTGTGCAATGGAGGATTGTTCACTGCAATGGAGTACTTTCTTTGGCACAACGATTGTCCTCACAGAAAGGTCCTTCATGTCAGAGCACTTGCTTGATCAAGAGTCATCCGCGCTCTTTTCTATCTGGGCTGGGTGTGCATTGCGATAGGCACTCAAAGACCTGTGGGTATTAGTGGAAAATCAAACTCTACTACACTACTTATTTCCGGTCTCACTCCCTGTTGCCTTTGAGAGCCCAGCCGGCCAGAAAGCCGGGCTCTGCCAAGCTACGATGACCCTTCTGCACGATGACATCACCCTCTTTCACCACCAATGAGCTTGCAATTGCCGAATCCCCATCCTGCAGGCAGTGATCCAGCCAAAGATCCATCGTCATCCCAAAACCTGAAACAAATCAGGGCGGTCTTGGTTTCTTAGCTCAAAGAAAAACGGCCAATTTGCCTCAATCCGAAGAAGCGACATCCACAACTTGCTGCGCCAACGTCTGGGCTCTCCTTCAACTGACATGTCCCCGAAAGACATCCCAAAGTCACTTTGAACTCGCCCACTTGACCCGAAAACCTCTCTAGGGGATCGCCCCTGGACGGGAAAAAAAGAACGGTCTGTGCTGCCCGAGTGGCATTGGTCAGGGGTGTCACGGCAAGTGGTGCATGCCGGATTCCCATTGATCATGGGGTTCGTGACCTGGGCGCGCAGCAGAGAGCGCGCACCGGCTCTTCTCCGGCACCGGCGCTAGAGCGAACCGGTGGGAAACCCCGGAACCCGGCTCCAGGCGGCCCTAGGTGGAAGCTCAGAAGGTTTTGCGGGAAGAAAACCCAGGGTGCAAAGAGATGGCAGAGATCGTAAAACATATCTGCTGTGCACTGTGATGTGTTCTCTTCTCTTGTAATGACCCCTGCAGACTCAATAGACCATGAGACAGAGGTTCCCAACCAAAGCTCGCAACGCTGTGAAAGCGCATGCAAACAGAACCAATCCTATACCTCAGCCATCCGCTGTCTGACAGTACCAATCGACTCCATCCGCATCTTCCATCCATGACGCCCACCCAAGGAGACTCTCATCGAGCGTCATTGTTGTAGAAACTCTCATCAGGGCAATACTCGAAGATACCATTGCAGGTCACCTCGGAGCGGTTCACGTAGGCCAGGGGGCAGCAGGCTTCATCCATTCCTCGGTCGAGGAAAGTTGGAGAAAGTCTTAGAGTGCCCCAAGAAAACAAGAGAAAAATCTCTTCCGACAAGAGTCTTTTCCTTATTGGGGCAGTTTTCTAAATAGGTACTCGGGATTTTCACGAATCCCTTTTCATCATGATCATGCGGATTGAACGCCGTTTCTCATCACTGTTGGGGACCTCAAAAGAGGTCTTTCTTCTCAAGATCTGCCCACTGCGGACAACCCCGACCACCACCCATGGCATCCGTCCGGCGTTCCGCCGCGAGTCCGCCGTTCACAATGCATTTCATCGACATCGCGCCGCGCCAGGAGTTGCTCTTCTGCGCGTTGGGAGTTTCCTGTGGCATGCCGTGCGCGGTGCCAAAGGAGATGTGTCCGGCCGGGTGATAATCTTGAGACAAGACCACCAGGTCAAAGAGGCAATCCTGGAGCGCGAGGGATTGCTGCTGACAGTTGTTCGTATGACCACTGAACAGTTGATCGTTTGGCCGTTGCCGGTCGCTCGGCGGGAAGGATTCTGTGACTCACTGGGCAAAGTTTCTTGGGATTTCCCGTCCTTCTCATTGCGAATCTGGTTGATCTTGGGGATAATGTGCGAAGCGACCACCGGCAAGCTGCCGTTCTCCAAGAAGCATTCCTGCTCTCCAAGGTCACATCCGAAAACCAAAGAAGTAAAAGGCCCCTGGAACCTCTATAGATCCGTGCTTTTGGCAGTTCCATGTTCGGCTGCACAGGATATACAGGATCACGCTTGATTGGTGGAGCCCTGTGAAGGAAGGAAGCTGTTCTCAGGACATAGGGAGTTTCAAATATATAATGTATAGGTCTTCCGCCCTCTGTTGCGTCCCTCCATTCCCTGCTGTCCCGTTCTACTCTTCATTCCTCCTCCCTTCACAAACAATAGCGGAACCCATAGGAAATTAGTCATCGAAACTGTTGTTTAATGAAATGAAATGGCAAAATGCTGTGAATTACTGAAATACCTTGCAAGGGAAGTGCTGCATACTTCCTTCCTCCCTCCTTCCTTCCTGTTTTCCCTGGCCCCTCATTCCTCTGCTGACACACCTCCTTGATTTTAGTGAGGGCACAACCCTTTTCCCTACAAACCCATGAAACTGGACCCCTCTGAAGGTCCTCTTTTGACCGTAACCCTCGAGTAGCAGAGCAAGGCTTGGATATTCTAAAAACTGGATCAACAACAGTGATGCCAATTGTCCATTGTTTCATGCCGACCTTCGACCAAGTCAAAAGAAACAAATCCTGCAAAAAAGGAACGTTGTAAAACTGTATGGCTGAACTATATATATATATATAGGCACATGGTACATATGTTAGATGACTTTCTGCAAGAAGACGTCAAAAGCCAAATAGAAACAGGGTTTCCATGTCTTTTTGAGTCCTGTGTGTCCACAATGATCAAGGCCTTTTTCGCCAGTGACAGGCTCACAAGAGAGGCTGCCAAGACCTTCAAAGCCATGTTCACTCTGGATCAAAGTATAATACCAGCAGTAGCCTTCAGAAGGGAGCCGAAACAGCTGACAGTTCTGACAGTTCACTTCACAGCTTCCGATTGAACTGTCCTAACTTCTGCAGCCAGATCGATGCTTCCGGGCCATCCTGCGGATTGGGCCTGGCAGCCTGGCTTCATCTATCCCCCACCCCCAGGGCCCGGTCGCTCAGCCGGCGCCTCATAGCAGCGCAGCGCGAGGCCAATAGCCTCGAGGTGACTCCACGTTTCGACCCGCTGCGGTCAACCCGCTGCCGTTGTGCTTCAATCGCTGTGACATGCCTGAATCTGTTCACCCCACCAATCCTCCAGCACCGGCTTCTGCTCCCAAACCCGCAGTCCTTATGCTCAGGACTTGCAGTCCTTAACCCTCCATGCCTATTCCACACACCAAGCTAACTGCCTTTAACCCGCTTTCGCCACCCGAAACCCGAAAGAAATAGACAAAGAAAACGAAGAACCACCCAACCCACTCGACCTCCCACTTCCCCGACTCAGCTCGCGACCGCGAGGGGCACGGGATTGAAAACCCAGACCGAGGCCTGGGGCTCTCCGAGACCGGGGCGAGGAGACCCCGGAGGGACGCCAGTGGTTTTCGGTGTCAAAGCAGGCCGGAAGGAGGCCCCTGAGGGGACCAATGGATTTTGGGAGAAGACCTTCCAAGTCATTCCCCGTCATGGGAGCGCGTGTGAAAAAGGCTCTGAACGAAATGACTGGGAGAGCCTCTGAGGTGCCCCGCCACCACCAAGCGCCACTTGCAGGTCGACATGGAGCCTCCAGGGGGTTCAAGGTTTGAGCAAATCAGACGAAAGCAACATCAGACACCTGCAATGATCCAAGTTCCCCCCATGGGTCCAAGCCTCGGTCCAGGCCACGGCACGCGGCCGCGCCCAACAGCGCAGCGCTGCCGGCCTCAACCGGGAGAGGGTTTTCCCCAAAAAAGGTCCAAAGGAGTGGCACATAGCAACCAAATACCAACATGTGTATATAGTTGAAGTGACACCTCCCCACCTTTCAGACATTGGATATACAGTATTGGTATTTGGTATTTGAGACCGTCACATGTGTATATCAGTGTTTTTTTGTATATCGAAGTGACACCCAACCCACCGTTCAGACCGAAAAAAATAAACATGCCAGGCACGCCGTAAGCAGCACAAGAGCGCCACCGATGCAAGTTTCTCCACATTGTTTTCGCAGGAGCAGCAAAAAGGGCCTCGAGAGGACCCTTTTGGAAGACAGAGTGGGGGGAGCAGGACCCCGGGAGAGAATCGGGTCCTCAGCGGCATCAGTGCTGATGCTAAATTGCTATTGAAAGGCTGGCTGATTGAAATCAACTTGGAACTTCTATTTTTTTCCAGCCATACCTCGCGCCGACCTGGTCCGGACGGGCTTATTGCAAGGCGTTGGCACAGCCAAAGAACGGTAATTAACAATCTCTGTTCAATGCGGCTGCATATATTCTTGCATCATCGGTGTTTTCATCGGTGTTTTCAACTTGGAACTGGAAGTATATAATCGTCCTGCAAATCAAAAATTGGAGAAAAAACATGGGCTGGCATGCGTAGGAAGTATGAAGTTCCAGGCCCAAGAATCTGTGACATAGTTTAAGCACAGTATCTACTACGCGTCCTAAAGAATTTTCACTGCAAAATGTAAGACGTGAACAGACAAAAACAAGCAAAAACCGGTTGGAAAGGAATCTTGAACCACCTTCACATCCTCCCACATTCATCCACTTTGCACATCCTTGACTCTGCAAAGGGGCTAAACACAACAACCCTCTTGGAGGCATCCTTTGCTTTCGCTCTCCCCAGGCTCCGGGCGCGAGAACTGTGCTACCGAAGATGGTGGCGGCCACCACGGTGTGCTTGAAGAGTCTCGCCTTGCGTTTGGCAGTGCGTTTTGTTCTTCACACGTGACCAAATTGGGAGAACTGTCCAGCTGAAAGGTTGTTTGTGTTTCCTCTCGATGTGAATAATTCGACTAGGACAATCGTTTTTTGTGCTGTAAAATCTACATCGAAACAAAACGCAAGTTCATTGCACGCTGAAAATATAGCAAGAAAACCATACAATGCAGCAACGAAACCTCAAGAAAGAGACAGCAATCATTGTAAGTCCCCAGCGCACAAAATCTTAACATGCCAAACAATCGGTGGAGCAGACTCAACAATGCTTGCAACAATGATTCCCATACCGAAACTACAACTTACAATCACCAAACTTTGCAGGTTCCGAGCTTCGGACACCCAACCAAGTCATGGACTACCTGGCAGGGTGTCACAACGGCATCCAACGCGCCACCAATGGGCACATGTTCACTTCACCCAGTTCAACCAGAAGCACCGCTCATGCTGTATTGAAACATCCCAATATGCTGCAAACCATCACGGCCTGGCCAAATGGTTTGAAATGACCATCCTCACAAGCACCGCTCGTATAAGGAGTTCATGTCTTGGAAAATGTCAGTACAATCAGTAGACACCTGAAAGTGATTGTTCACTGGATTACGTGGCAAGATTTCAAAAGGTTACGGCATGCGTTACTATTCTGATGAGACTCTTCATGCTGCCATGGTTTTGCTGCAACCATGAGCTTGGTATGGCATTGAAAACATACAGCACTTTGGCGTCGGTACAGTTCCACTTTTCGAACTAAAAATCTAGCATCGCAGCATCTTTCTCAATTAGCCCCACCAAACGCAAAACCATAGCGCCGTTGACAATTGAAAATGCTTTAATATATAATTTAGGCTGCTATAGAAAGCAAATCAAAATTGGGCCCCAATTCAAAAATCCAAATGTCATAGTGGCCGTGGCGCCATATCAATTTCCACCGCCAGACACACACACTTATAGAATTTCGTACTGACTTGAAAGCGGTTGCCACACGCCAACCTGGGTTTCCAAATCCTGAAAAGTTCAAGAAAACCCTGTGGAGCCTGGGGGGTCTTCAAAAGGAAAAGGGGACCAAAGGCTCAAGTCGAAATCGAACCGACAAATGACGGCGTGGCGTGCACATCTGCAGAACTCACTAGGACTTTACCGGAAAAGTGGAATAAAAGCTTGTAAACGCCACAACCAAGCAGGTACGTCCACAAGGCGTCCCTTCCGGATATCAGCCACACTTGCAGCCCTCTTCGTTGGGCAATCAGCTGCAATGTGGGATTGCCCCCTGCTAAAAAATAAAAAGTCAATCAGCACAATCCGAGTGGATCCTAGTGACTTCAAGGGGCACACACACACACGCCCCCCCGACGGGGGGCCGAAAATATTGAGGTCAGGACGCAAGTGCATGTGTGCGCGCGCGCGGGAAAGACAAAAGAATGAAGACATGACAAGAGGACCGGACAGGACAAAGGTGTAGGTGGATGAAAGAGGAAACAAGTGCACAGGGACAAGCAATGAAACCCACCTCATTATAAAGACCTGGGCGACCTAAAACCTGGGTTAAAGTACATGTAGTTGCGCACGTACACGCTGAGGCCGGGACCAATGCGCACGCAAACGGAAGAAAGGATGAGATGAAAGACATGAAGACAGGAGGACGCGAAAGAAAAGAGGAGAACAGATGTGTGTGAAGGGGAAAAAGGATGAGAGGGGAAACCAAATGAAGGGGACAGAAACCAATGAAACCAAACCTTATTAAAAACACCTAGGAAAACCTCGCCTCGTTTATGTGTATACGCTGTGCGTGCGCCTGAGTTTTCGGCAGGTTCTAACTGGAACCTCCAAAATACTTTGGCCGCTGTGGTCACCTTGTGCCCTGCCAAAGTGGTTGGCTGCTTAGACCGCTGCGGTCACGTAAAGGCATGAGCCAGCTTGGAATCAATACTTCAGCAAGTCTTGGCAAATAACTTCGGCGTAAGCCTCCCGCTATCCCCCTCTCCCTCTCCTCCCCCTCTCCTCCCCCTCTCCTCCCTCTTCTCCCCCTCTTCTCCCCCTCTTCTCCCCCTCTTCTCCCCC